TCCGCAGATTTCAGCTCCTTAACAAGGTCTGTGGCCTGGAGGACAGTTTTCTAACCTCAAGAGGTCAACGCGATGTGTAAAGCGGAATAGGCACTTCTTTCCCACGGGAACTGTGTCGAGGTGAAGGCACCAGATCTTGTCGAACCACCAGTTTCGCATGGCAACCTTTAAGGTCATCTTTAGGTCGTACGCTCTCGGGCGCAATGCTGCGTGGCTGACATGCTATACCTGGTGGAAAACCAGGAAGGTAGTGTGAAGTGGGAGGCACTAAGCAAAACAGTTCCTAGAGAGAGGGAAGCGAGCACGAGGTTTAGGGCAATGAAGGGAAATATCACGCCCACAGGAGAGAACACAACCCAAAGGACGAGCAAAAAATTGCCGAATCTGATTGAGTTTTCGCGAAGCCCTCTGTTATATCAATGAGCCAAAGCACTTTCACTAGGAAAATGCAAAACACTGCGGTAAAGAGGTATGCAGCCTGATCTGACTGGCGATTTCCTTTCGATCCAGAGCTTGCAAATTTTTGCCTGGCAGGCAGCCCAAAAATCATAACTCCAGCAATTTTTTTCGGCCGGTCAACTTATTTTGATTGTGAAATTTGACAGACATCCTAGGGCTTGAGTTGCTTACATATGCGTTTGGAACAGTCACAATATTAGTTGTTTTGAAGAGTATTTGATGTTTAAGATGGCATGCGACCTATAGGGAATTGTTTCATGCTTTTGTGAACCTCGGCTTTGAAATTGTTCTCTTCTCTGATACAGACAGTGGCAACAACACGAGGTAATGAAACCGCAAACATCAAGAAACATTTAAGGCGGAATTTGAGTGCCTCATTATTATTATTATTATGCTGAATCCAAAGTCAATAGACTTCTACATAGCCGACCTAAAACTACAAGAATGTCTGGCAATACCCCGTAATCCAATTCACCTGTTTAACATAATCTAAACGATGCCTCATTCTAAAGGCAGATGGAAATGGCCGACAACGACATTTATCTATAATATCAGCCGCTGTGCGACTGCCGATAGGGCTTGAGAGTGAGGCCTACGGCAGAATGGGATGAGTTTGTCCTAGCATCGATCGATGGGCGTTAATCCGCCAATGTCTCATTCTGTTGAAAATAAAGTTCCCCATGGTCAGAGCTTAATCAGGCTGCCATTAGTCATTCCAATAGGTTAAGATCTTATTGATTTCGGAGCGACATTTTTGGAAGTATTGTATTTAGCTCAGTGTTACTGGTGCGGATGAGATTCACAAATGTAAATGTTCACAGACAGTAGGCACGAGCCGTACCGCACGCGTACCACAACAGGGCTTACTTTGACAGGATCCAGACCACAACTGATTTACGCAAACAGAAGATGACCCCGTCTTTGACGGTGGGCTTTTTAACTTGAGCCGCCATTTTTTCTTCTCTCAATTCACATGTAAACTTTCTTATATATACATTGGTTGGTCTATTACGCCCATAATAAACCGATTTTTATCCCCCTTTGCCTATTTGAACTACAACAATGAGGTTATCAGTGCTAGACGCTAGCGCCGACTTGAAGAAAAGCCAATTTTACCCTCATTTTGCGATATATTCAAGGAAATTTCCCAACAATGTCAAAAATTGTAGTTGGGGGGGGGGGGGACCGCAAATTTTCCACAATTAGGTTTACCGAAGAATTGTAGTCATTGGCGATTACGCATTCCCTGGTGTTGTGTGATTTTAGTGCCTAATTTTATTCATGATGAAAGGACGACGTTTATGCTAAAAAAATTTGGAATAATATTTTTTAAAATAAAGCGTTTACTCGCACGATCAGAGCATCGCAGAGACAAACATTCTCCAAAGACGGGCAAACAGAAGCTGGGGAAAGAGGGGCATCAAAAAGGGTGGTTCTAGTGATTGGGCAAGTGAAACTATCCAACAAAGCTCTAGCTAGTTCGCGGCATCGGTAGGAGGAAAAAAACAATTTAGCTTGCCTAACCAATCGGATAAATAGTCTGCACGGGAAGGCGCTAAAACGCACGGGAGGACTGGACATAGAAGAAAAACCGGGC